ATATACCAACCATTATGTGGCCAATTACCACGGACCACATAAAAAAAAGCAGGACAGACCAACAACGCTTCATCGGAGGTGCACTGATGATGTTACCTAGTATGGTGACGAAACGTCTGCAAACCAACCCACCAGCTCAGCGAACAAATCAACAACCTTAATAAAATCCTTCCTACAACAGGGCAACCAGGACACAGTATTCCAGAAGAGGCCTCACCAATGTCCTGTACAACCTCAACATGACGTCCCGAACTCCTATACTCAAAGGTCTGAGCAATGAAGGCAAGTGTGCAAAATGCCTTCTTAACTATCCTGTGCAATGCAAACTTCAAAGAATTATGTACCTAAACCCAACTGCAGCTGGATAGGCCATTGTCTGTTACCAAGGGAACTTAGACACATCTCCACAGGGAGATTAGTAAGTGATTCCCCATTGGCCTTGTTGGGGTTATCTCAAACAAGCCGCCTCTTACTCTTCCAAACTCTGGCAGATACAAGTCTAACCTGTCCAATCTTTCTCTCAAAAGACTTCCTACAGCCTTCAAACAGATCTAGCAAATCAAGACTGGCCATCCCTGAGGCACTGTGGACCATCAACAGCAACAGAATTGTACTCCAGCACAATCTGTAACCTCATGGCCTGGCATATCCCCCACTCAACCATGACCATCAAGCCAGGGGGTCAACTCTGGTTCAATGGAGAGTGCAGGAAGGCATGCCAGGAGCAGCACCAGATATACCTGAAGATTAGGTGTCAACCTGGTGAATCTACCAAACAGGACTACTTGCACGCCAAACAGCAAAAGCAGCAAGTGATAGACAGAGCTAAGCGATCCCACAGCCAACGGATCAGATCTAAGCTCTGCAGTCCTGCCACATCCAGTTGTGAATGGTGTGGACAATTAAACAACTCACTGGAGGAGGAGGCTCCATCCCCATCCTCAATGATGGAACAGCCCAGCACATCAGTGCAAAAGATAAGGCTGAAGTTTTCGCAGCAATCTTCAGCCAGAAGCGCCGAGTGAATGATCCATCTCGGCCTCCTCCAGTGGTCCCCAGCATTACAGATACCAGTCTTCAGCCAATTCGATTCACTCCACGTGATATCAAAAAATGATTGGAGACACTGGATACTGCAAAGGCTACGGGAACTGACGACTTGTGCTCCAGAACTTGCCGCTCCCCTAGCCAAGCTGTTCCAGTACAGTTACAACACTGGTATCTACCTGGCAAATGTGGAAAATTGCCCATGTAGATAGAAAGCAGAACAAATCCAACCTGGCCAATTTTCACCCCATTAGTCTACTGTCAATCATCAGTAAAGTGATGGAAAGTGTCATCAACAGTGCTATCAAGCAGCACCTGCTCAGAAATAACCTGCTCAGTGACGCCCAGTTTGGGTTCCACCAGGGCCACTCAGCTCCTGATCTCATTACAGCGTCGGTTCAAACATGGACAGAAGAGCTGAATTCCAGAGGTGAGGTGAGAGTGACAGCCCTTGATATCAAGGCTGCACTTGAGTGAGTGTGGCATCAAGGAGCCCTGGCAAAACTGGAATCAATGGGTATCAGGGGGCAAACTCTCCGGTGGTTGGAGTCATACCTGACACATAGGAAGGTGGTCGTGGTTGTTGGAGCTCAATCATCTCAGCTCCAGGACATCTCTGCAGGAGTTCTTCAGGGTAGTGTCCTAGGCCCAATCATCTTCAGCTGCTTCATCAATGACTTTCCCTCCATCATAAGATCAGAAGTGGGGATGTTCGCCGGTGATTGCACAATGTTCAGCACCATTCGTGATTCCTCAGATACTGAAGCAGTCCCTGTTCAAACACAAGATCTGGACAATATCCAGGCTTGGGCTGACAAGTGACATTTGCGCCACACAAATGCCAGGCTATGACCATCACCAATAAGAGACAATCTAACCACCACCCCTTAACATTCAATGGTGTTACCATCACTAAATCCCCAAAAATCAACATCCTGGAAGTTACCATTGATCAGAAACTCAATGGGACTCTCCACATAAACACAGTGGCTACAAGAGCAGGTCAGAAGCTAGGTATACTGCGGTGAGTAACACACCTCCTGACTCCCCAAAGCCTGTCCACCATCAACAAGGCACAGGTCAGGAGGATGATGGAATACTCCCCACTTGCCCTGGGTGGGGGCAGCTCCAACAATACTTAATAAGCTCAATAGCATCCAGGACAGAGCAGCCCCCACTTGATTAGCACCACACATCCATAAACATCCACTCCCTCTGCCACCAAAATTTATTAGCAGCAGTGTGTACCTTCCACAAGATGCCCTGCAGAAATTCACTAAAAATCCTCAGGCAGCACCTTCAAAACCCACGACCACTTCCATCTGGAAGGACAAGGGGCAGCAGATACATGGGAACACCACCCCATGCAAGTTCCCCTCCAAACCAGTCACCATCCTGACTTGGAAAAATATCGCCATTCCTTCACTGTTGCCGGGTCTAAATCCTGGAATTCCCTCCCTAAAGGCATGTAGGTCAACCCACAGCAGGTGGACTACAGTGATTCAAGAAGGCAGCTCATCACCACCTTCTCAAGGGGCAACCATGGACGGATGATAAATGCTGGCACAGCCAGCGACTCCCAAATCCCACAAAATGAATAAATAAAACTCTTTCCAGGTACGGGTCCAGTGAACCTTCTCTGACCTAATGCATTTCCAGTGTTCCTTAATTAAGGCCAGTACCCTAGACAGTATTCCAAATGTGTCTCATTTCACTGTCACTAACCTGATGAAGGAGCAGCGCTCCAAAAGCTTGTAATTTCAAATAAACCTGTTGGACTATAACCTGCTGTCATGTGACTTCTGACTTGGTCCACCCCAATCCGACACTGGCACCCCCACATCTAAACACTAATTTCTACATCACAGTCTTATCCCTGCATCCAGACTACATTATTCTTTTCTAATGCGAATGCAGATGGAAAGTACTCATTTAAAATTCCACTTAAGTCTTCCAGTTCCATCCACAGTTTCCCAACGAGCCCCAATCTTTCCCCGAGTTATCCTCAAATATTCGAGCAAAACGCTGTTGGATTTTATTTTATTTCTGATGTAGATCTGTTTTCTCTGGAGTGGCAGAGGCTGAGGGGAGACTTGGTAGAAGTTTATAAGATTATGAGATGCATAAATAGGATTGACGGTCAGAATCTTTTTCCCTGACATTGAAATGTCTAATACTAGGGGGTATGCATTTAAGGTGAGCGGGGAATGTTCAAATGAGATGAGAGGGACGAGTTTTTTTTTTAAACACACAGAGTGGCAGGAGCCTGGAACACACTGCCAGCGGTGGGTGGTGGAGGCAGATACGTTAGGGGCATTTAAGGGGCTTTTAGACAAGCACATGGATATCCAAGGAAAGGAGGGATATGGACCAAGGGCAGGCAGAAGGGATTAGGTCATTTGGCATCATGTTCGGTAACAACGCCATGGGCCGAAGGGCCCATTCCTGTGCTGTACTGTTCTTTCTTCCTGCAAGGAGCTGTTCCCAGTCCACTTTGGCCCAATCCTGTCTCTATCATATTAAAAATCTATCCCCACCCCCGCCAGTTTCAAACATTTATTTCTGATACATTTTTGTCCTTTTCCATTCTTCAAATCTTAATGAGTTGTGGTCGCCGACACTGAAATGCTCTCCAACTGACTCTATAGCTTACCCAGCGCTGTTCCCCAAAGTTAGGTCCAGCACCTTTTGTAAGACTTTCTATGTAATGTCTTGAAAAGCTTTTAAGGACACATTTTAAGAATTCCACCCTGTCGTGGAATACCAAACAATGACCATGTCCAATGAGAGAGAATCTAACCACCGCCCCCTTCACGTTCAATGGTGTTACCATCATC